TTGCGTAGTATTTTGCTGAAGCTTTAAATTAAATATTGTTTAAAATTCTTTTTAAGTATTTTCATAAAATACATAAACGAAAAGATGCTTAAATCAAAAAACTATAAAATTAAATCTTTTAAACTATACAATTTTTTGAAAGGTTCAGTTTTGTTCCTAATGTTACAAAGTTTTAATTACGTAAGTTTGAAAACCTTTATGGGAGAAAATATTTTGCGAACTTTACAAAATTGATATTGTATTCCATAGTAACATCACCTCAAAAAATTTAAATGAGGCGTGTTTTAAAAGCTTATGGAAAATATTGATTCAGGAAAAGTTATTTTAAAGCATTTTTAAATTAATATATATTGCTTAAAATTTCAGTTGTTTGTAAGTTGTAAAATGTAGTCAAAGGAAGCTGTTTAATTTCTTCCTACTTTAAATATCAGAAAAAATTAAAATTTATAAATGACTTAATCTTGTGGTCTTTTTACTTAAATCAACACAACGATATCCAGTTTTGATTCTTACCAAGATTTATTTCGAGAAAAATGTTAAGTTTAAAAAAACGTTTAATTTGAAAAAGCGTTTAGAGTTTAATGAAACAGTAGAAATGTCAGCCTCACCGTCTAGTAAAAATTTTCAAAGTTAATAAATTATTCTCTTTTTTCGGAAACGGGTCTAAGAATTAATTATAGATATTTAACGGACTTAGAGAGTAACCATTACATGATATATATTCTTAATCTCCAAAATAAAATTAAAGATTAAACTTTAAATTCGTCTCCAATAGTAGTAAAACAATTCCTGTTATAATATAAAAGTATTTTCAAAATAAAACAAAAAGAAATAAATAAAGCTAATAAGAAATAAATAAAATAATAGAGTAATAAGTTTTCTTACATTATTATAGCAGATTTTAAAATAATTAACAATAACTTTATGAATTAAACATTAAGATCAAAAATAAAATAAAAAACGTACAATTGCTGTATTACGCTTTAACAGTTTTTTTCGTAGCGTAGAAGAAAAACGAATAAAATGTATTAAGTTAATACGTTTTTTTTAACTCTTTCGTCTCGATGGACGAGATAACTCGTCTTCCAGGAATACTCGCTGTTAAAGTATGTGAAATTGTTTAAGTATTAACAATAAGTGTGTTGCTTTAGAGAAACAAATATCAAAATAGCAACCATTATTTATCAATGATACACATGAACTTATAAAATAAAAAATACAAAGCCAATAAAATCGCCTAAAATAATACTTAAATGTCTCTCCTTCAAGTGCAAAATAACTAAAAACATACAGTAAAGAGAATTTTGCATCAGCAAAAAAATAAGCGCAAACTAATGAAACAAAATTAAAAAATTAATGAAATCGCCAAACCTGCATAGGGAAATAAATCTTTTTATAACGTAAAAAATGCGAAGTAATGAAATAAAAAGGTACAAAAATAATGAATAACAATGAATATTCTGCCTAAAACAACAGAATAATTTTTATTATAATCTAAACAAATGAAAAATTAGTAAATATTAGATATATAATTTGATCATAACGCTCCGAAATTAAAGCAACATTAAAATATGTTAAAATAATAAAGTAAAAATCATAAATTGATAATATCGCCTTAGTAAAACTATAATACCATTCTTGCTATACAAAAAAAAAATCACAAATTAGTAAATATTAGTTTCATAACTTAGATATTACAATTCAAATTAAAATAGCAAGAAACGCAAGTTCAAAAATAATGAAATAAAAAGCATAAAATGAAAAAAATCGCCTAAAATAATAGTGCAAAAATTCTTGAACTAGCACCGATTAAAAAAGTGGTTATTTGTTTTAGCTAAATGAATATTTTCTTCTGCTGGCCGCTACTTGATTTTTGAAAAGAATTTGCTTGATGTGAAAACAATCCTGTATTCTCGTAATTCACGTGACGTATATGCGACGCTAGGTCAAACTGGGTTAAGATACAAAATAAAGTAAAAATAAAGGCAAGATCCAAAATAATAGCATAAAAGAGTAAAAACTAACTTAAAACAACAATGTACACTGTAAAACATTACGGATCAGATTACGTAATTCATTCCGTAAAATTCATTTTTACCGTAAAAGTTTTCAGAATAAAAAATTTGATATACCGCAATTTTTATAGTAGTATTAACTGTAAACTCATTGAATTACTGTTATTAAATAAATATACCATCCATTTTTACAGTAAAACTTTATGCCGTTAATATTACGGCATAAAATTTTACGGTAAAAATGGATTTTGTGTCAAAATGGATTAGACGGATGCTGCAATCAGGATGCCAGTACTTTTTACCGTAATTTGATCCATAATTTTTTACAGTGCAACTACTCTGGTTATTATCTTGTTGTTCAAAACAAAGGTCGAAATTGTATATGTTTCTTATAAAATCTAAGTTTTAAGCTCCTTAATAAAATAGCTTTAATCAAATACCTAAACAATAAAATAAAATCTAAAAAGTTTCAACAAAAATTGTTGTGACAAGCACTTCAACTAGATTCTGATTTGGAATAAAAAAACTTATTTCTGTATTACTTTTATACAACAAAGAATATCTAAGAAGTTCTTGTTATAATGAAATTTAAGAAAGCAACAAATAACCGAAGACATTAATAGCAAGAAAATAGATTCCTAAAACCAATCAAATTTATTCTAATGAAATTTTCATTTATCTTCCATTTTACATCTAATGGACGAAAACAGGAAAAGGAATGCTTCCGGACTTTTCATGGGAATATTTTCTAATCGACTTGCATAGCGTGTTGATTGTGAGGGAAATATTTTTTGCAGCAGTGGCGTTGCGTGGACGAATTTGTTGAAAAGGTGAAAAACGATTTCATCCATCACACATGTCACGTGAATTATAAAAGAAGATTCAAAGCATCGTTTTTTAATATAATTTTCTTGGTCTTTCTTTAGTACGGCAAAACAAATAAGACTCCAATAAAGATTGTTAAGATTTACAATACGTTATTAGTACTAACGGGAAATTACCAGAAAGGGGGAAAAAAGTATATATTTCTAACGAAAAATTTTTTAATTTTTTATTTCGAGTCATAGAATTCTTTTTAGATTGGTTCGGTACATATTTTATGCAACTTTCCCAATAAATTAGAATGTAGCTAAAATAATTTTCGTTTCTAAGTAATTCCTTTTCTATGCTGTAATTTTCTTGAAATCAGATACAGCAGTAAAAAAGTGGAATTGCAATGAGGATTATTAAGTTAAGCGGTACGTTATTAGTCCTCCCAGGAAATGAAAAATCATACAGGCAGGAAATGTAGAAGCGTGTATTTTTTTTTTCTTTTTTCATAATGAATAAAAACTTAACAGGTTGTAGATTTCAATTCTCCTATTTCTCTTGAAACTGATTCTATATAATTTTTTATACTTTTTCCAAAAAACTTTCAATAAAAAATAACGTTTATGATACCAACTTTTTTCATTACAGATTTCTTGAAATATTATAGAGCAGCAATAAAAGATTTCTTGAAATCTTATAGTGCAGCAATAAAAATAAAATATTCTAATACACAGGTAAGCCCACAGGGGGGTGGGGGTTTATCAAGGAGAGTAAGTACCAAAGCCATCTTTTTGGAAGGGGGGGGGATATTTTTCTTAAATATTTTATTCAATTTTGTAGTCTTAACACTGTAAATTAGATATTTAAGGAATATTTTTGATTATTCAAGGAGTAATTTTTTTAATATTTAGGTTTGGATATTTATTAAAATATTTGATAAGGTTATTATTTTAATCAGTTTATTTACAGACGAAAAATAGTTTTTTCACAATAGGGTAAACCAACCAGTGAAGGAACACTACCCAGTGAAGGAACATTTCATATATATTCATTAAAAATAAGAATTTGAAAGTTTTTCTTTAGATTGATTGGTAACAATAGCTTACTGCCAAACAATAGGAAGTCATCTAGCAATATTTTGGATTACCTGGTCAAATAGATTTCTCTGAAAAAATTTTTGAATTTGTTATTATCTCTGCAACACCTTGTTTCGTTGAAAAAATTATAAGGTGAGTGTTTGTACTTATATGTTTGAAGTGGAATTAATTGCATGTAGTAGTCTTATTTTTCTCACTGTGAAAAAGAGAATTCAAAATATAGTTATTGAAGTTACGTTTTATTTTTTTTAAAGCACCATAGCATAATCAAGTACTGAGATAAGGGGGTGTTTATTCACTGGATCACCAAACGATGAAAAACCAGTGAAGGAACAAGTGTTCCTTTACTGGGTTTTTCTCCCAGTTAATGAAAATAAAAGAAATTTTTTAATTTTCTTGTACTTTTAGTCATATTATACATCAAAATTCTGTTTAAAAGACAAAAAACAACTTCCAACCAGTGAAGGAACAGGCATGTTCCTTCACTGGATCACCAAACGATGAAAAACCAGTGAAGGAACAAATGTTTCTTTACTGGGTTCATTTCTCAGTTAATGAAAATAAAAGAAATTTCGTAATTTTCTTGTACTTTTAGTCATATTATACATCAAAATTCTGTTTAAAAGACAAAAACCAGCTTCTAACCAGTGAAGAAACAGGCATATTCCTACACTGGGAATACTTCCAGTGAATGAACAGTAATGTGTGATATATGATTTTACATGACTCTAGGATAAGTAATTCTGCTATATAGAGGACAACCGAAATTTTGTTAAAAATTGTATGAATAATTCCTGAAATAATTTCAGTTCAAAATGTTAATTTAATAGCTTAATTTATGAAAAAATTATAATTTATATTTATTAACGGGGTGTGTAGTTACATCAAATGTTAGGCAACTTAATAAACTATGTTTACAAATCGAAAACTAATTAAATATAATCATAAAAATAGAACATTTTTTCGCTGGCTTTTGCACCAAGAACTCCTAATAAGCTATCATTATAGGATAGCAACGTGATTATATAATTTATAGAAACTACTTTACAATGTTAGAATTTAGAAGTAAGTTCCTCAACAAAAAACAAAGTTAAACAGAAACGATACTCAATTTCTTCAGAAGCTTGAGAGGGAAATCCCTCAAGATATGTTGTAAATTTTTAACACAGCATTGACGGAAGAGTCTAATATCGAAAATGTCCAAGAGCCTGTACTTTTTCCAATATGGAAGAAGCACGTATTAAAAGAAGACCACTTGGTTAAGTCAAACTTAGGAACTGAAGCTAGTATTGATAATGAATGCATATTAGATATCGAATTTGAAATGAGTCCTCATGCTGATTCTCTTAGTTGAAAAAAGAAATGATTCTGTAAGTAAAATCAGTACTTCTAAAGATCCTCTAGATATAAGTCAACAAGAGATGGATTTGCCTCAAACTTCAAGACACCTTTCCCCCGTCTATTTTCGAGAAAGGCATTCTAGAAATGTTGCTGAAAAATCAGAAGAAGTTTGGAAGAGCCATTTACATTGGCCAAATATTGATGATAAAAAGAAAGGTCAAATAAGAAGAAAAGCGAATAAATTACCTTTTGCACTAACTTCAGAGAAATGGCAAAAATTTCAAGAGGCTGAAAGATCTAAAAAACATTAAAACAAGAGAACATGGAAAAGAAAAAGAAAGAAAAAATACTTAAAAAAGAAAAAAAGCTTCAAGAAATAAGAGGAAAAAGAGTAAACAAAAAGGTGATAAAATAATAATGATAATAAACAGCATCGGATGACACAATGATTTAGATTTGACTGTCAAATTATAAGAAAGAACGATTTTTTTAAATTTATTTTGTATTTAACATCACTTTAATTTCTAGTTCATGATTACAGAAAAAAGTTAGCATTTTACAAGTACTTGTATCTCATAATTTCACAAATAGTCTTGTTTTTAGTCGGACCTCTATTTAACAAAATCACTTAATACCAATAATAAGCTCGTTATATGGAAAATTCGTTAAATAGAAAATCACCTCTTAAAATACTTAAACAACACAAAACAGGTTTTAAATTCTTAAACACTAGACATAATTAAAATAGCAATTGATACACTTTTATCTTGTAAACTAGTATCTACTATTTATCATATAAATCTCAACCATAAAAGAAATCTGCATGGAAAGCAAGAATAGAGCAAAACATTATCCAGTGTTACACTATCATGCTATATACATTTTCAACTAAAAAAAGTCTAAATTTATGTATAAAAATATAGTTGCATTTATTATAAAAGTAATTTTAAACATACATTACCACTTGCGTTAAGTTAAATTGCTACGGATGAAATCCGTTAATTTGAAGTGAGTTTTTCGTTTGAAGTGCAAACAAAAAGGGAAAGGGAATTTACTGCTTTCTCTAAGATAATTTTTAGACAAAACAGTAATACATTTCATAAAGCAGTGGCTTCGAAAATTAATTTAATGTCATTTCCCCCATAAATTGCTTTAACAAGTTTAAAATGTTAAGAAATATTTTGGAAAATAGGGAAATTGGATCTCAATGAAAAGTTCGTTAAATAGAAAATTCACTTCGCTATATGGAAGTTATTTTACAAAAAAATTTCCAAAATGCTCTTGGTTCCTCGAAAAAATTCGTAAAATAGGGAAATTCGTAGAATGGAAGTTCGTTAAATAGATGTCCGACTGTATTTGTATGGCTAAAAAATTCATAAAGAGCATTAAAAAATAACCAAAATTAAGTGTTCCTTCACTGGGCAATTTTGTGTTCCTTCACTGGTAAGAGCTGTTCCTTCACTGGGTCTTCTTACTACTTGTTATTTGAACCTCCAAAACTTTAAAACAATATTATGTAAGTTCTCTGCAATTTTTTTGCATAATTTGCAATTAGTAACAAATATGTTGACACTGTCATTCAACTGAAATTACGAATTTTGAAATTAATATGATTTTTTAAAAGGCAAGCGAAGCTTAAGTGTTCCTTCACTGGTTAGTTTACCCTATATCCTTATTTTTCGTAACTGCTGTGTTAGCAAGTCTCCTTTCAAAGGTTATATTAAGGGTAAAATTCTTCAATTATGGTAGAGGAATAAATTTCTTGGCATTAGCTAATGAAAAATTGTTTAACAATGCCAACATTGATGAAGTAAAGTATCTTAATAGGGGCAGAAAAAATATTGCACAAATATACAGAAGAACAAAAGTTAGAAGTAAAACAAAGAGACTTGTGAATTTTACAGGTTTTATACGTTAACTTCCCACTTCACTTAACTAATTCTCTATTTTCTTTTTCTTTTCTTTCTTCTTTGAGAATTTGTATTCTCATAGGTAAATGAAAAAGAAAACACACGGGAATGAAAGTCTGAGGGGAAAAAGCAATAAAAATGAAACGTTTGAAAAAACGACAGAAAAAGAACATCGCTAAGCAAAAGTGAGCCTAAATAAATTAAACATCATAAATTAATTAAACATTTCAAATTAATTAAATATTATTCTAGTTAATTAAATATTTCAAATCAATTAAATTATATATTTATTAAATCTAGAGGATTAATTAAATATTATTTTGAAATAATTACTATACAAGGATTAGTTTGAAGTAATCGGAAATAATCTTTCTGCATTGCATACTTTCAAATACTTTTATTTCAATTGCTTATATGAGCTTTAAGAATTTTCGTACGTCAATATTAACACTTATAGTATTGTGATATGATAATCATGTAAAAATGATACTTTTAAACAAATGATTTTTTTTAAAAGTTGCATATTGTTTTAAAATACTTCATTATTTTTGTAAATATTTTTAACTTATGATAAGATTAACATTCAGAGAGAGTATTGCTAATTTATCTTTACGTTGGAGGTAAAAAAAGACATGATGTCACAAATATATGACTTTTGAGGACAGTTCTTTTGTCTATCTTTCACCAGTAGAGCAAGTTGGTCATGGTGTTTTATCAAGCTGCCAAACTTCGCCATTATTTATTAGGACAGGACATAGTGTCCCATACCACAAGATAGAGTGAAAAATCTACAACATGGATCTGGTAACAACTTAATTTTAGAAACGAATAAACATGGTGTCCTTTACCTCCGACATACAGATATGAAAATAAATCATCGTAAAAGATATACAATTAAAAAGAAATATATAAAAAATTTCAAAAATTCCTTTCCTCCCATTTCAAATTAAATGCGAAATAATTTTTTTTTTTAAATCTCTAGTTACATTTGAAAAAAATATTTAATTACATTAAATTTGGGCTGAAAGGTCAGAATCGAATTGGTCGTTAAAATGATTTAATTTTTAAAGAGAACAACGCATCACCACTCTGTAACAAAGTTCTGCTTAGCAATTTATTGTTTCAGTGTTTTCTTCTTTTCAATTCTTTATCACAATGTTAACTTCATCTTCTAAAAATAATGCTTTACAAAATATTTTTATCAGTGATTTTAATTGAACATACACAGCTAAAAAAAATTTTGGGCAAATAAACATTTCGTATGCATTTTTGTTATTTACCGAAATAGGGAAGTTTTAACACGCCATTTTACTCATAACTATCAGCTGGCGCTAACGTCATAGGACACATGAGTGGGTATCCGAGATCTTATTCTTGAAGGGCAAATTCCTAATTCTCGTAATCCTAAATAAATATATAAAAAACCAACTTTTCTTTAGTTCTTTTTATTTGAATTTCAATTACATATGGTGAGCACATGAAAATATTTCCTTTGTTATAGGTTTCTAGCGGAATTTGCATGATGAAAATACTAATTTGTGTTAAGCCTATCCTCATTAGCAGCAAAAGTAAAAGATTTCACAAAAAGAAGCATGGATTCTTAGTATAAGATATACTATTCTCATTAGGCAGCGTGTGGTATCACATATTAGGAACTAACCATACTGAGCAGGCATAAAAAATTTCGAGAAGCTAAAAGTTAGTACGAATTGGTTCATCCAGGCTTGCTTAAAGGCAATCTCTCATTACATAGCGTGTGGTTTCGCATGTTAGGAACTAACCCTATTGCGTAAGTGATGAAAATTTCACGAAGTTAAAAATTAAATCGAATTGATTCGGCCATGCCTGTTTAAAGTCAATTTTATCAAAAGAATGCATTAAAAATAGCTAGAAATAGTATGTTTCACTGAAGAACTTTTTAAACACTATTCTTGCTTACTTTAAAGCCGCTAGGGGACTTCGTTTTTCTCACTATTGTCTTCAGGCATGCTTCACATATATTTTAAATTGCTTTTAATTGAGTGCACCGTCTCTATTAGTTAAAATAGGGGTGTCACGTTTTAGGGAATTGTTTCATATTGGATATGTTTTCCTCTATTAGAAGAGAATGAAAAAAAATTATTATAAAAGAAAATAAATCTTGACACTTTCTTTATTTCAATTCATAAAACTATCATATTATTGGTTTTGTGTATATATTAACATAGTTTCCGGAAAGTTAAAAAAAAAAATCTAATAAAATAAAATTATTTTCAGAACTATTTTGAAATACTTTTTTGGTACAGATTTTAAAAAATGGAAACTCAAAATAAGACTATCCAGTAAAAAAGTATATTATAGATTTAAACCTTGTAAAATTCTACATTTTTAAGTCATGTAAAAGAAACATAACTTTTGGAAAATTTATCTTTGATGTGAGGTCAAGGCAGGTTGTGTTTTTGGTCAAATAAAAAAAATTCTGTTTTTCTAACAACAACAACAACAAAAAAAAAAACTTAAAAATTCATATAAACTGCTTTCAATATAGATGCAACACATTTCCAGTGAAAATAGTTAATTACAAATAAATATTGAGCTTCATCTTTATCAATCTTAACCTTTTTTTTTATCTTGAACTCACTTAACATTTGTTCGAAATTTACAGAAATAGATGGACATTTTATTCAACCAAATCTTTTTCGCAATTGCTTTTAAAGAATACGAAAATGATGGGTTCTCTTAAGTTACCATTTTAGTTTGTGGACTTATTTTAAGTTTCTCAACTGATATGGTTCTGTTATGTTAAAAACATTGTAAACACACTGATATTCTGTTAATAATACCGTAAATACACTGATATTCCGTTAGCAAACTTTTTTCACTATTTTCACCCTTATTTTTTAAATAAATTAATCTTGGGAGAAAACAGCTATCAAACTTTAATTTGTAGAAAATTTTGAAAACCAGTTTATTTTTTCACAAAACTTGTTATCCATTACCATAACAGTTTTTTTTTAACTAACACAATAAGTATTAGATAAATTTCGATTGTCCTTCATAACATATCTAGGATTTTTAAAACGAAATACCACAAATTAATTATAAGCAAGTTGCTCTTTGCATTTTCACTTACGGTCAATAACAGAAAAATGTAGAAGAAGAAAAACTTTTTTTGTTATTTCTTAATTAGCAGAAATTCTATTATAGCCTAAATCAGAATCATTTCTTTTTAGATTATTTCTAAATATTCCAGAGAAAAAAAATAAAACTAACTTTTCCAAGATAATAAAGATAATTTTTCCAAGAAAACAACGTAAGTCACAAAGAAGATAATAGCATGATTCACATAGCAATCATAAGCAGAAAACAATAGTTGCAGCAAAAAATATATATTTTTTCACAATAAACCGCTTTTCTAAGGATGCATGCCTATCGTTTTTTTTTCTCCCTTTTTTTAAGAACTTTTGAAAAATAAATAAAACATTGCAACAAATGACATGGAGCATCGCCCTTTTATTCTTCGTAACTTGATTCTACTGAGAAAAAGTAATCTATAAGTTTAAATTTCGAAAACAAAATAAATTATGCAAGAAAGGTCAACTTCTGCGCCATGTTTAAAAATAATTTTTTGCCATCTCAACCGTATTTTTATATTGTAACCATATTTTAAATTGAAATATAATTACTTGGGAGAAAATGTTTTTAGAAATAAAAATAATTCAATAATATTCAAATCTCATTTTGATTTTCGAATACATTCTTGGAAATTTTTTCCTCTAATAGAAAGATCTAAAAATCAAAGACTAAGAAGAATTTCTGTTCTGAATTTTCTGTTTCAAAAAATGATAATTCGC